GCAATTATAACTTTGTGTATATCTACTATAAATAATGAAGATCAATTATAATCATCTGCCTGTGAAAGTGCATTATTTTTTCTTTAATGCGAGTAAGTAATTATTAAATATATGGCATCTCCTAACGTATGTTATGTTAATTCACTTAATTCTAATATAGGTACATGCGTGATAATTACAAAACACACGCGAAATAAATTACATATTTCCAAATGCTTTAAATGATATCAAATATGCGTGAATACAGTTACAATCATTTTTCTTATTTTAGGTATGGGTGCTTTTACAGCATATGTACCAGTTTACGGCAGGCAACTTGGTATTTCGCCATTAATTATGGGCAGTATCATCGCGCTTTTGCCTATTGGCAGTTTGCTCGGTAAATTACTAATCGGCTACGCCGCGGATTATTTTCTCACATGGAGGAAAAGGATATTCATGACACTGTTCACCGTCACGGCTATATCTTTCATGTTGATGTATTTTTTGCCGGCTCTACCCGGTCCGATACTACCGGACCACCAGTTTCAAAATGTTTCTTGCGAGTGTCCACCGCCTTGCGACATGGATTATGTAAGTTTTCGTTTTGTTGTAACTGTAAATCTTCTTGACGAGGCAATAGTAACAGATTTTCTTGTAAAAAATCTCATTCCCACGAAATAGAACATCCACGATGTACCAACAAATGTATATACTAAACGTGTTCTATATATCATCGTTAGCATACAAGTGCTTTAAAATTTCGAAAGCTTCTAAACACTAAATCTTCAACAACGCCGGAAATGATATCAAACATATTTTCAGCTGTGTATTCAAAAGATTTATTTAATTTTCAGCACGCATCAGTACTGGCATCGTGCAACGGTACGAAAGACACGACGTGTCATTGGATGTGTAAGGATATGAATTTTTCCATACGATTATCGTTTCATGGAGTCGAAAAAGAAGCAATTATCTCACCGGATACTACATGCTTATTAAATGTCAATGAATCGTCATTGTGTCAAAGAAATGAAACAGCATATAATAATTGTAACGTTACCTGTGACATTTTTGAAGACGATCGATGTCTATACACGTCTGTTACTTTCTGGGGCTTTGTCATCTTGATGTTTTTTGGCATAGTTGGTTTGTTCGTTTCCGCCAGCGTAAATGATACAATTTGCTTCGACATATTAGGTAAATAATTTCATAAATGTGTATTCAGAGACAGTCACGTATCAAAATACGAAAAAAAGTAACCTTACACGGACAAAATTTTCTTTTAAAATTTGCCCTGAAAATTATGTAATTGTGGGACAATGCGGCATTTCGAAGAATTTTAAGAGCTTTTTGAAACTTTACCATATACATTTTACGAGTAATTGGACTAGTATACATTTTACTGGTACACCCAGAAAAAAGTTTCTGCGAAATGAAACAAAGTTTCTTTGAATTTTGACCTTACTAAACTTTTCTAAGAAAGTTATATCTATTTCTTCAAATATATCTAGCAAATGTTTTAGTAGAAGTATTATAAATAAAAATTTAGTAGATTCAAAGAAAGATGATTTTAACGCATCTCATTTATTTAGCCTAAATGAACCTTTTTTTCTGAGTGTAGTACAATTGTTGTACTTATTGTCAGTTTTCAAAGTATATATTTTGATAGTAAAATATAATATATGATACAATTAAAAAAAAAACTTTTATTGAGTTCTTCAAAATGTTATGTTGTCCCACGATCACATGATTTTCAGGGCAAATTTGAAGAGAAAATTTTCTCCGTGTACAAGTAAACGTTTAGCAATAAATTACCTCATAAACTCGTATAAACATGTAAAGAAGAAATATTTTTCATCGAAATTTTATTCTTTAGGTACAGGTGGACAAATGAAGTACGGCAAGCAACGACTGTGGGGTTCAGTCGGTTTTTCCCTTGTCTCACTTGTATCTGGTTATACAACAGATTTGTGGTCACAAGGAAAAATTTACAAAACTTATACACCAGCGTTTATTCTTATGCTCGTATTCATTGTTAATGATTTGATTTGCTGCAGAAAATTAAAGGTATATTATACGCTTAAAAGGAAAAAAATAGTATAGTGGGTTTAATAGTACATTTTTAATTTTAATATCGTGTATTTTTATTGCAGTTGCCACTGGTGAAATCGCCAAGTATATTAACAGATTTATATACAATTTTGAAATTATTACCAATTATTATCTTCCTATGTACCGCTATTATCGCTGGCATTTTGGAAACTCTTACAATGTACTTTTTATTTTGGTAAATTTTTTATGCAAGCAATAAAACGCAGCAATGTCACATTAATTGTACTTCAGTGATTTGTTTCATCAGGTATATGGAAGATCTCGCTATGACGACCGGTTATATGAGTCAAATTAAATTAATAGAAGGTCTTACGTTATGCACAGGTTTTCTCGGCAGCAAAGTAATATTCTTCTTTATATCTGGTAATGTTATAAATGCATTTACTCGCATGTTTTACCGCATAAAGTACAATTGTGCGCGACTGGAAATATTTCGCTCCGAAAATTGTAATGATGAATTTATACTTTTTCAGGCAGAATATTGAAAAAATTGGGTTACGGTTACACGCTTACCATTTGTTTTTTATGCTGCGCACTGAGGATGGGATTTATATCCTTGGTGCCAACGCCGTGGTATGTAATTCTGGTGGAAGGTACTTTGCAGGGACCAACGTATGCGCTTCTCTATGCAACAATAGTGACGTACGCGAGCGTAATATCACCGCCCGGCACATCGGCTACCGTTCAAGCGATTGCGGCTGGGATGAAGGAGGGTCTCGGTAATCTTTCTTATATCATCAAGAATTGTTTTATACTATAATACAAAGAATTTACGCAAGTGATACGAATGTATCTATGTTTTCAATAAGATTAACGATTTGGTACATGCGACGCCGCATTATTTTTAGGATACATGATTGGTAGTTTCTTAGCTGGTTTCTTATTCGAAAAGATTGGTGGTAGAATGACTTTCAGAGCGTATTCAGGACTCGCAGCATTCGCTGCGTTAATGTATTTTATACTTTATGTTTCATACCTAAGACATACAACAATATACGCAACAGGTGAGGAATCGAGTAACTTGATTTGTCGGGATTTTTCGACAAATTTCTTCGGATTGTAAAAATATGAAGAAATTTTCTTCTTATTGCAGACGCACGGCATAATGTTGAATGGAGAAATCCTGATGACGCGCAGAAACAATGTGAACCAGATGAAACGTAATACGTTACAAATAATAATACATTCTAAAACATCATATCTTAATGAAATTACACATTACAATAATACGAAAATGTAAACATTATATATATATTAAATATTAATTTCTGCTGAATATACTATATTGCCTCGTCATATTTTAAGTCTGCTTTAAACAATGCAATATGAAAGAAAAATGTATCACCGATCGCTTGCTCGAAACTTGAACTGAGACAGACTCAAAAAGATTTTGAATTGTGCAGTCGAGTTATTTTTATTATTCTGGAGTTTTACTTTTATATCTTTATTCCTTTTATAGAGTGCTTGTCGACATTTAAATGACAGAATAGTTTCGTTAAGGAAGAAGCAAATTGCCAGTCACTTCAACAATGTTACCGCGATAATTCACGCGTGACAATTTATATCGTGATGTACTTACGCAACACAAGTTTACGGCGAATACCGTGCGCGTTAAATACGCAGAAAAATCGTTTCGGTAACTTTTCGACATCCTGCGTTGTCGTTCAACATTTTTGGGGAGCGTTGTTTGTACCAATTCCCTTCCTCTCTCTAATACGATACATCGTATATTTAATGCAGAAATTAGAAACTACTTCGCGTTGCATTATCCCGCTATAATTAGCGAATTAATTGGACCGGGCGCTTATCACGAGAAATAAATATTCGGCGCGTTTACTCGTTTACTTCACCCACGGGATTTGAAGCAGCCCGGGGAAAATTCCCGTGGTACACTGCCAACGAGGAGAGGCCACATTTGGCAGATCTTGGCTCCTCGATGTCTCCTGGACACGCAACGAATTCGCGCGATAACGCATACGTCGTTGTCATCGTCGTGGTCGTTACCGTCGTTGCCAAGTGCAGATCGCGCAATATTTTACGGCGCACGAGGTGTTCGCGGCAGATACGCGCGCGCGTTCTCTCCAGTAGTACGTACGTACGCCAATCGGACGAACGACATCTCTCTAAGAATCGCGAAAGTGTCGTAAAGTTTGATCGATCGTAAATTGGATTGTTCCGCGGGGAGCACGTAGCCGGGAGGGGACCGGGGTAAGGCGATAAATGAAACTTGGATGCTCGCGGAGAGGGGAGAGGGCGAGGAGGACGGAGGACGACGAGGCATTCCGAGAGTATGCTCCACTTTGGATACGGAATCCTCCTCCACTTTTACGCCGAAAAACTTCGCTTATCGCTCTAATTCGAAGGGCCGGCTTCGGGCGCCCGTGCGCCGGCAAACAAAGCAGTTTATTATGCACCGTTAGCGCCCGGATAATTTGTTTCTCGCAGACTCCCCCACGTGTCGCAACGTCTCGCCGTTTACGCACGGCGCGCTCTGTATCCGCGATAATGGTTCATTTCCGAGCTACGAGCCGAAACAATTGTAAACCCGAATCCGACGAAGCGGCGCGCAAGAAAAATTTAAGAAACGCAATAGGAAGGTCTTTATTAATAACAAAAAGTCTTTCGCGTGACACGCACGTCTCTCAACGCCTCCGGTCTAATATTTTTGTAGGAGCGCTCGCTCGTCCTTTCGCCGCGCTAAAAATCGCGATTAATATATAGAAAAAGATTTTGCCTTGCTCGAAGAACTTGTCTAATTAAAACTTTTTAACGTCAAAACATATTATTAAAACGAAACATTTAAAATAGAATACGGTAGCATGTTGAAGTTTTTTAAGATATCGCCAAATAAGCATTAATTCTCTCACCAAGTATATTATAGGATATTATAGGAATATTCTTAGAATACGTCCGCAGTACATTCTATGGATTTTCAGAATATCACGTTAGGCTATCACGTTCACTCTCACGTCTCGTTCCGACTTCCTTCCGAGAACTACCCCGTTTCTCGGGGAAATCGCGCGCTTACGTTATCTAAATCTAGAATCCTACTTTTGCTTTATCGGCCACTTGTGTACGGCTTTCGTGTCCGCTTCACTTGTCCGTGCATACCTTCGTTTCATTATTTACGTGTTTGTCGCTGTGTCAAAGATGCTTACACGATTATACGAAGGAATCATTGGATTCTTACGAAGCACGAATAATCATGATAAATCGTATCACCTGTCATTGCCCACGTCCCATCGTCAACGTACATTATTAAGCGCGAAGAAATATAGTCACACCAGTCTCCCCCGCGATGTACGTACACGTGGAACGCGCGAATTTGCTTGAGTAATTTGCGGCATGCGATACAAGCGCGGTCATTATATGAATATAACGCATTCGTTGTTAACGCGGAGAGTTATTGCCCGGTTGTACACCGGATAGTGGCAATCACACTGTCATAACCCGAACGCGATTAAATCGTTAAATAGACCACGGATTATATACTTGACGTGAAATTTGCTGAAATCTATACTGTGAATGATACACGTGGCGCACAATAACCGGTATTGATCACCCATCAGACACAATAGGGTCATGGATATTCAAACGAGGGTATGGTGTCTAGCAACGCAGACTCCACATCCTCTCGGCAAGGATCTCTGATAACGCGACACAAAGTATTCTTGACACATTTGAACTTATTTTATGCGGTAAAAAAATAAAATGACATTGAGGGGATCCTAAAGCCGCTGGCGAACTCGATTAGTGTCGATAAGGTAGGGCAGACGGAATTAAAAAATTATCGGCATTTTCAATTCCAAGTTCTACTGGGTCTGAGAAATTTATGGCCAACCAATTTGCAACTTTTACGGAAAAGCAGCGATTTTGCTACACATTGCTCAGAGATTTTGGATGGAATTCTAGCATCGTCAACACGTGACAGATGTTTGACAGCCGCCTCTCTCGAAATAGCCTGCAACTATTTCTACACGCCCCACTGCTCCTTTTCTCTTCTTCTAGACTTGGATTTCTGGACTTGCGTTTATTAGAAATAATCTTTTTTTCTAGGCTATTAATCTTTGTTCTAATTGCACGATATTGTTCTTATATTGTATGTTGTCCCTGGAGTAGGCTGGTCTCATTTTGTATATATTTATTGTACTATTCTTGTATCAAGCAAATATTGTCGTCAAGTGTACCAAAAATTAGTAAAATTTTTAATTTTTTTCCGTTTTTTACATAAAGTCGACTAGCATAATCTAGATTTTGTTACGTACTTTAATTCCGTAAAAGAGTTTTGCATTTTTATAAAGCCAATTAAAAGATTACTTCTAACAAAGAATGTCGATAAAACAGACGGCTTTAGGATCCCTTATATGTTATTTCTAGGGTATGCTGGTCTCATTTTGTATATATTTATTGTCTTGTATCAAGCAAATATTGTCGTCAAGTGTACCACAAATTAGTAAAATTAAAAAATTTTTTTCGTTTTTGATATAAAGTCGACCAGCATAGTTTAGATTTTGCTGCGTACTTTAATTCCGTAAAAGACGGATTATTTTATTATGACGGATCCAAGTGCAATAAAATTGGATCCCGGAAATGTTTTCTGTGGACGTAAGGCTGAACGGGACTGATCCTTTAAATTAACCAGAATATCGGTTTGTATAACATTATACGTAACGAGACTTGTTAAGCAAAGATTTGTACGTTAAAAAGATCTTGTTACGTAACGAAAAAGAATGAAGAAGAACAAAAGTCGTGCTCGCGAAGGGTGAGCGTAAAGACGCAAGTTCGCCGTGCACCGACACCGGACGACCCACCCATTCCCTCGAAAGCGGGACCGCAAAACCGCTGTGGAACAATCTCGCTATAAAATAATCCTTTGTAACGGAACATCGCGGTATTGCATCTGGCAAACAGCAATGCCGCTGGTTTGTCGCGCGGAAAATTCTCGCTCAATAAGCCCGAGAGCTGTCCTCCGTTTAGGATTTTTCGCAATTTCGTGCGGCGAGGCGCGCCCTTTTGTCCCGATTAAATCAAATATCATGTACAAAAGTTCCGTTCGACGTACAACGGCCGCGATGTGAGCCCCAATTAACGATAACGGATTAACTTTACCCTCCCGGGGATACATGATGTCTGCGATACGCCGCGTGTCGTCGCCAGAATTTTACTTCCGCAGCTCTCGACGGGACCATAACTAAACTAATAATCGTCGAGTGATCGTAGTTAGCGAAGACTCTAGTAGTGCGCCGAGTAACACTGCGTCCCTACTAGAGCTTCAATAACGAAAGCCCGACGGAGAACAAATCCGTCGCCGATACCCCTTGGCCTCTCAAACGAGGATGACTTTAATTCCCGATCGAAATTGCAAAGTGGAATTAACTGGATTTAGTCTGACATCACTTATCACCTCCGGAATCCCGATGAAACTTCCGTGTCTCCCCATTAGCCGTCCCTTCGTTATCTGCTTTTAAATAAAGATGGGATATACTAGGCGCAATACGGAGCAGAGAAGGAAAAGGATAGTGTAGAAAAAAGTTGTGTTAAAATTTTTGTTTAACAAATATAAATCGATCGTCGAAGTTTTTCTTTATTTATTTATAAAACGTACGCATTACTCTCCCCCTGTTACCTCGAAAAAATATTAATTTCTATTATTTTCTGCCGAGTTGTACAAATTAAATGTGAAATATAAAAAGTGTACTAATTAAGTTTTCAATTAATAGAATTTACTGTTGCAACAGACAGACAACTGCTCGTCTTCTTTTCCCCAGACTCCTCGCAAAGGTATTGTTTTACAAGGGACGCAATAAGGATCTTAGGAGAGTATATCTTTCCGTTATACCATCCGGCAAGGCGAGGAAGACTTTAATCCAACGTTGAAATTGCAAATCAAGTTTAACGGGCCGCGAGGCTGAGATGAATACTTAAAACAGCGTAATAAATATACGAACAAGCGGACGAAGATCCTTGTATTGTCTCCCCCCTTTGCAACGCGTGACGTTTAATTCGCAAAATCGCAGGATCTAAATCTCCAACAAAATTGCCCTTTGAAAGTTTATTCTCGCAAGTATAATAGGAAAAAGTACAGTGCATCTATCAAGAAAGATCATCAGACTCCAATAATGCAATAAAAATGAACAAAGAAATAGGCAACAGAAGTCAACACGAGGCGTTATGTGTGAAATATACAGGGTGTCTGACACAAGAGGACCCCTACGAAAAATGATGGTAGATTCGATCAGACTAAGAAGAAAAGTCATGTACCATTTTACAAAATTCGCAATAGTTATCGAATAACTTATTGAAACGTTTCAACGAATGAGCGCGTAGAGAGTGGTTTGTATACCAGATCGCCTAGCAACGGTGAGCGAAAGGTGGAGCGACGCGCGACGTAACTCCGCGCCGGAAAGAAACAGCGAGCAATGGTTTACGTCCCGCGTCGCTCACCGCTCGCGTCCGCCCCTCGCGTACCTTCCGAGCCCGGCCTACCGCTCTCTACGCGCTCATTCGCTCAGACGTTTCAATAAATTATTCGACAACTATTGCGAATTTTGTAAAATGGTGCATGACTTTTCATCTTAGACTGACCTAATCTACCACCATTTTTCGCAGGGGTCCTTTTGTGTCGGACACTCTATAAAACTGTTTAATACATCGAAGTATAAATTATAACGTTTTGATCACACAAGGGGATCCTTCTCGATGACAAATATACAATATAGGTTAACTGTATTTTGTGTTTTTTTGCTCATAATTTATTACAGTATATCTAGACCTATAATTCGTTCAGGTTTTCTAACCAGAATTGACTGCGTATTGTCTGAATATGCTATAGAAAAAAAGTTACATGAACATACGCGGAGAGAAGTTCTTAAAATTTATCGCGAAAATCATATAATCGTGGGACAATACGGCATTTCGAAGAATTTGAGTTCTTTGAAATTTTATTATGCATTTTACAAGCACTTACACTTACAACAGATTTTACTAGTAAAATATAACTCATAAAATTCTTCAAAAATACCCTTTAATTGTCTCACACTCATATGATTTTCAGGAAAAATTTTAAGAGAACATTCCCTCCGTGTATAAATGTATTGTGTAATAAACGATTTTAAAAATAACCAAGTTGCCTTTAGAAATTATCAAGTCCAGCAAGTCTACCACGGGACAGTAATCTGTTTCCTTTAAAAATTTATTACCAGCAAAGTACAAATCGTACAATTCGACCGCCGTACGTTTCTCCGAGTGAAGCGAAAGAGTGTTTTGCGAGGTAGTTGGAAGGAACGAAACTCTATCCCAGTAACAGATCCAATAACAAGGGCTCGAGTGGATGAGCAAACTGCCGACGACCCTTCCACCCGGCTCTATCGGTATCCCTCGGCGAGAAACTCTCTCTCTCTCTCTCTCTCTCTCCCGTCTCGCCGACAGGATCTTGAGAATTTTCGCAGACGCCGTAGGCAACAGACTGATTCCGAGATTACGAGTCTAATTAACGGATTAAGCGAGCAGGCCGCTCTGTTTGCTAGAAATTAACTCGCACTCCCGACACCTCAACTATCCGAATCGCGGTTAATTTATTGAATCGCTGATAATCTGCCGGTGGAAACCGTTAGACGGTAAAATGTAGGAAGGATGGGGCGTTCTGGGCAGTCACTCAACTTTTCGGAAGTACAGTTTTCTCCGAGAAAGACCTTGCAATAAAATGTTAAAATCCAATTTTCTGTTAGTTCGCGCAATCACAACTAAATTTATCAGTTATGCACCGGAGATTTAACCGAAAAGTATCTTCTATAAAACGCTCGTCAAATTTCCGACTTTTTATCTTGGTGCACGGAAAAAGTGTTGCGTTTATTGTTTTGTGTATACGCGACAATCTATAATCTTCTTAGAAGCGTTTTATAATTTTACATTCCAACAATATTAGTCTTATTTAAATTGTCTACAATTGTCACTTCAAGAATACACATAATTATTCTGACAATAAAGTCATTTTAATTATTGCAACCTTCGATTTGAAAATACGTCATTTTCTATCCCATATTGTTTGCTCTCCATTCAAGAAAATTACTTTTAAATAATAGGCATATATTTTTCTCGATTGGATTATATAAAATTCCTTCATTCAAGCAAGTTTTTCTTCCTTTAACGCAACAGAATCTTATTTCAAGATTTTCACGGTGAGACTAAATACATATATTTTCAAAAGAAGAATATTCCTTTTTTTCGTGTATCGTAAGGCGTTCGACGCATCGCTGAAGATGTGGAGCGAGACAGGATATCGGAAGAGTATTTTCCAAGAGAACGAAAATGCGTTCCTTAAGGCTTCGCCAGTATGCTCTTCTTAGTACGCTCCCTTTCCTCCGAAATAACATTCATGCCCGGTTATCAGTAAGGAAGTTACGCTAAAAATTTTCTACAATTCTGTCGTTACGAACACTGACGTGAAAGACGAACCACGCTGAACTTTTCTATTACGTTCCACGTAATTGCAGACCACCCGGAGGGAATCAAGAGCAATATTCGAGCCGTTGTGTTGATTTGAACAGCGATGTAAAAGTCAGTGAAAATAACGTTCCCAGATACAAGCGTGTCCCTACATAATTGAAATATCCAATAGTTTTCTTTGTGAAGGAAAGCAAAATGGTTTGCGCATTAAAGGCATTGTCAAAACCAAGCTCGTCTCGCAAAATGGAGAAACATAACATTTACACCGTCGCTTCCGCAGCTCATTTATGATTATTACTCGTCAGCCTGAAGACAATTACGATATTGCCGTTTGGTCTCCGTTCGAAATATTAATGGGACGCCCAGTGCCGCGCACACAAGAAGGACCCCGCGTGTCTTTTAGCATTATCTGTACATACCGGGTGTACGCCTGCTCGCATAATCGATCAGTATTGATCTTTGAACGGTCCGTTACTTCGTGTATCCACACTCGGTATACGGCGGAGCTGATACGTTCCAGGCGATTGATCATCCGCCTGACTAGTTGG